TTCAGTGGTTTGGCCTGACATTTGTACTATGTAAGCTTTATGAACCTTCTGGTGATACCAGATAATTTATATAAGACATTAGGTGAATATTTTGCCTTCTTTGTATAATGGGCCAGTCAGGAACGTGCCCCTTGCAAATACGAGGTTAAGTCCAATTTTTTCTTAATGAGGTCACTGCTGAGCTCCTGTCACGCCAGTTAAATTACTCACCAGTTTGTTTACTAAGGAAACCTGAAATATGTAAAAGCTTTGAAAGTGTGGGATTTGACTTGATTCAATCCTTTTTCTGCATAGAACTGTGGACGTTGTATACAAAGTTTTTTTTTTTTAATGAGGTACTGTCAGGAATCTCGTTACAGGCTTTAATGCTGTCATTGACAGTGTCTGCCTTTGAGGTAACTGCTTTGAATGGACCTGTTTGGTCAAGTTATGCCAGGTTGATAGCTTCATCTGTGTTGTTCTTGTCTGGTGACAGTGTAGTGACAACGTTCTGCTAAATTTGTGTTTGCTGCCATGACCTTGAGTATTTTACAGCATCAGTGCATGTGACAGCAAAGCTAGAAGCCTGTATAGATACTAAAGGTACACATTTCTATAAATGGAATATTGGCCATTCACACAAGGTGCGTTCTAGAAAGAACATATCCCCTAAATGAAAGACTTCCAGGGTTTTCTCTAACAGTGTGCTGAAATTCGTTGACCGCCATCGGGCTGTGTATCTTCCTAGCAGGAAGGAAAGACAAGGTTGTGCTGTGTATGTCCAGAAGCTGAGCACGTTTCAGAATGGGCACGCTGCCTTAATGAGGACGGGAAAATCTGTCACCCGAGAAAACCAAACAGGGATGTATCTGTGTAAATGATTCTACTGGGGCTAATAGTTTCCCTACCTAGAGTCATTTGATTGACCTCTGTCCCTATTGCCATGACTCTGGTTAGAGCAGTGACTCAGAACGGCCCTTTATGCTCACGTCTCAGGTATGTCCAAGTCTTGAGAGCAACTTAGTGGAAAGACTTGTTTGAAAAGGTAATGTTAAGCTGTGTAATGTCCCAATGGGTATTACAGTGCTTATTTGATTGGTTTTTGACTGCCACAAATTTGACCAGTTTGTCTGGTCAGCAAATGGGTTTATATTAGAGACTTGTTGGGTTACATGTGCTGTAAGGAAGGTTGTTCTTCAGATTCACTGACTTGATTTTTATGCCTTGGGACAAACTTAAGTTCTGTGAATTATAGTTATAGCCACGTGTCCTAAATCCTGTACTCCGCTCCAGTGAACTTGTTATTAAATGCTTGCATACCGACGGCAGGAAACTGCTCTCTACAATCTTAATATGGCAAGGTCCCTAGATTTCTATTTGGTGCAAGCAAACAACCTGACGGAGACCACTTGCCACCTTTTGTTTCCTTCAGCAGCGCATTGGGTTTAGATGTTACCAAGAATATGGTTTCCAAGTGCTTGTCTGGTTGCATTTTTCATTGCTCCTGTCTGTGCAGGCTATAACTTAGAAGTCATGTCCAAGCTCTTTCTTGTCAAACCCATTCTCTCTACTGAGGTGTTTTAGAGCAGGCATGTAGTTTTATATGTTTGCTAATTATTGGCACCCTCAGTAGGAGTTGGAGCTTGTTCAGTCTTGGTGGCCATGCTTTGATTCTGTGGAAGCCTTGAAGTTTTCCATTTCTAAGTTTTATTGAAATAGATTGATTTTTTTTTTTTCCCTAGCCAGTGGATTTGACGTGGCTTGTTTGGAAACCACCTCAGAATTTTATTTACAAAGTTGGAAATCCAGTGGGATTAGTACGTGTGAAGAGAAACATTGCCTGCAGGACTTCTTTTATAGAAGCTAGCTGTATAGGAACATTTGTCTTTGGGGACTAGAATGCCCAGCATGTATGTGTTTTCCTTTAGAAGTTACTCCTGGAAAACAGATCACTTAAAAATCCAGGAGACAGTGCCTCACTGCCAAAAAGTATAAAATGATGCTGTAACATGATGAAAGATTAAAAAGGTAAAATTTTAGGGAATCCTTTATGTGCTCTCTCTGGGAAATAGGCACTTAGGTAGAAATCTGTTAATTTTAGTTTAAAGGAAAAAAAAAAAAACCAAAAAGGTGATGATGCATAGTTATCAAGTTGATCAATATTATGAAACAAAACATAGCTGCATCCTTTTATTTTCAACAGCTTATGGTTCAAATCCTGTCATCAGTGTACAACACCTGAATCTTTCCTTCTTGCCTTTTTCCTCTCCTTCCTGTAGAAGAGGCTTCTACATGTTTTGAGGCATAACCCTGTTGTGATCTTTCTTTTCTCCACCATCTTCGTCGCTTATTGCCATCTTTTTTTCTCCTCGGGTGAGCCTTGCAGCTGCATAGTTTTAATCTTAAATGTGTTCAGTGCCTTTTCCCATTAATGGTTGCTTCATTAGATTTCCTTCTCCTTCATTTTCCCTGCCCCAGTTTGGTTCAGTCATGGCAGAGTGGACAGTAGGTCCTCACCACTCTAGTCTGAAAGCCATTCCTTGACACCAGCATCTTTGGTCTCCTTCCCTGATGCTATTTTACAGTTGTTGAGTTTCCAGATGTTCACCTCCTATACCTTCTTTTGTCACCCACGTTTTAAGGCTTCCATACCACCCTCCTCATCTTTGACATGTCCAGTGCTTTGAGTATTCATTTTCAAAGCCTTTGGCTGTTTGAACTTCAGCAAACTTCTGGTGATTACTCTTAGAGTGTTCTAGTTACTTGTTGTTTTTTCATTACTTTTCTCCATGCAAGAGTCTTTCCTGTGTTTATTCAGAGAGGTAATCTCTCACTTCCACAGGTTCAGTGTGTCTTCACGCAGGTTATTTACACTCCTGTATGTTTGGTGTGTTACTTGGTGTCTCAGCAAGATGCCATAGAGAAAGGGAAAGCGAATGCGGGGTAAATTAAGGTCACTTCTTCCCGGGTCATCCTGCTCTGGTGTTATCATTCTCTGTTAGGACACTAAAAATAATCATTTCAGCTCTCATTCTTTCATCTCCTCTGTTATATATGCTTGGGCCATCTCCAAATTCTGCTTGCTACTTCCTCTGGGCACTTGAAAATGTTGTAGGACAACTCTCTCAAGATCCTCTGTTACTTTCAGTACTCTTACCTCTGGCTTCCTGACAGCTACGCTTCTCCAATTCAATCAGAATGAAGGGAAGATGAAATTTAATGTCTCATATATATGTTTAAAGAGGGGAAAGAGGAGAACTTTCTGTCAAAAAGCCCACTTGCTGTATTGTCAGTCCTATCTTGTCCCACAGAAATGAGCTGAGGAACATGTTATTTACAGAGAAACAGTGACTTTCAGAAGTAGTGTTCCTGGATTTCTATCTGCATTTATTAGCCCTTCAACCCAAGCATGAGCTGCTTGTCTCATGCCTTTTCCTCTTTACCCTTCTCTTCTTGAATTTAAAAAAACAAACAAACAAACAAACAAAACCCCAAAAAAACCCAACCAAACAAAAAAAATACAACCAAAAATCCTGGAAGAATTGCAAGAGGACTTGAAATCACTAAAAGAAACTTCAACTGGATAAAGGATTGTCTCCTACTTGGTTCTCCTTCAGAGGTTTGGGCGGCTCGGCTCTGATTGCAACTTGAGATCCTGGTCCTTACGCTGACCTCCAGGAAGTGTGTGAGAAGTCCCGTCATGCTGCTGGTGCCTCCCCAGAGGAGTGCCTCCCCTGTATGGCAGCTTTGTGTGCATGTAAGACCCATCACTAGTGTAGGAGCGACGCTGAAGAATAGACTTTGGAGTGCCTGCTTTTCCTTCTGAGCTTTACCCGGTGAATTCCTACCTACAGCAACTAAGATGAGACCAAGTCACATGTGAAGTATCATGGGAGAATCCTTTTCCTCAGGCACCCTGCAGATACCCTCTTACCCTCTTTCCTCACTTCTTCTGGGAAACTTGACTGCTTTAAAGATGTTCTTTCACCCTTCTGTGTGCATCACAGACCTTTATTCCCCCCTCATAAATTACGTGTGAGTTGTTGTCCAGACCCTTTACCTGCTGCTGCTCTTCTGGTGAGCTTTTCATCAACAGCGTGCAGAATTTTCCACCTTTGCCCTGCCCCAGTCCCCCATCAGCATATACAGTATATCCTCAAAGAGTGTACTGGTATCTGATAGGAAAAAAATCTGTCCTTTTGTCTTTCCAGACTACTTCCACATCCTTTGTAACGATGTTTTTAATACTTACTGATTTTACGTGTAATAATAAAAATAATAATAATTAAAAAATCAAGACTTTGTTCTTAATCACCTTTCGGTCCTTTTCCTCACTTTCCTGCTATTGTCACTTGTTACCTCAATTCATTAATTGTTTTATAGGCTGAGTGACTGCTTTGTTTCTTACAAGACTATGATGTAACTTTACATTTTTGGCTACTTTGAATAAATGGGGATGCTTCCTTTAAGATTTTGAATTCCCATACTAATGGCTTCAGCAAATGTGTTGGGAACTATCTGTCACCGTAGTAGCCATTTTACAACATGGAATTATTTTCATTCTCTTGATTAGCTCTCAGTGAACTGATGTCTCCAGACTAGGATTAAGTCCAGCTATGCAGTTCTATGGCACTAAGTATTTTTCCTTAGGTTTGAGGCAGAATTCAGTTTAGCAATTTTGAAGTGGAAAACCAGAATTTAGACTTTCCCCAATGTTTTGCTTACCCTTACACTAGTAAAACAAATGAAATTGTTTATATCCAGTTAAGGTTATATTGCGTAGGATGAAAATGTGCCTGCCACAACAACAGAACTATCTAAGTTTTCAAAAAATAATGGCAGAGAAAATATTTAAGGGCTTGGAATAGAAATGTGTGGAAAAGTGGCAGTAGGGCAGTCCCGCTGTGTTCCTGAGCCTAGGCTGCTGTTCTTCCATATCAGGACTAAATAAGATACAGCTGTGGATTGTAATGTCTTGAAAGCAGTGTATCACTGTTTAAAACTAACTTTAATCCTTGCAGACCAGTAATGGAGGAGGGAGTTTAAGTGATTATTCCTCCTCTGTCCCATCAACTCCAAGCACCAGCCAGAAGGAGCTACGGATTGATGTTCCTCCCACTGCCAACACACCAACTCCTGTCCGTAAACAGTCCAAGCGCCGATCCAACCTCTTCACGGTGAGTGAGCCAAGGAAGAGACTATTGCTGTATTTTACGTAGTGCTCTGTGGTGACGGCCTGAACTTCAACCCTGTTGAGTTGAGCTGGTCTAATCCAGACAGGAGCGTTGAGATGGATCTGTAGGCTCAAAACCAAAAACATCTTAGAATTACCATGGGGCGGTTCTGTTTGAGGACTTAAACAGAAACTAAATACAGTGAAGTTATCCTATTGGGAATTGCAGTGAAACAAGTGAATCCGCAGTTGAATCTGGAGCCTTTGTCTGACTTTAATTCTCAGACCTGTCTAGATTCCCTGGTTTGGCAGTAATCAAAGAGAAAGCTGGGCCTCTGCTCCCCAATCCTGCCCTTACGCTGAATAATGCTGCTGACTCAGGGCTGCCTTTTGAGGTCTCCTGTGTTTGTAGAGACGTCTCAGAGTTTACCATGGGAATATCATGCAGTACTGCAAAATAAGTACCCCATGCTCCTTTTATTGCTATACAGTCTCAACTCACTTTTCCAGGGTTAAGAGAGATGGAGATTAAAATGACTTTTTTTCTTCCCAAACCATCTGTTTTTTGCCTCATTGAGAGCCAAAAAAAAGTACTAAGTAGAAAGCTTGACTGGTCCAATATGATAGGTCTTTGTTATGCATAAGTAGTTTGGGAGATGATAATGAAGCCTTGACTGATGATTTCCTTAAGTTTAGTAGTCTTGCTGAAAGCTTTGGGATTGTATTGCGTGCGTAATTGTGGTTTTGTAAGCAGTTTCTTGACATTTAACATGCTTTATAGCAAACACAGAATCCCTGTGGGCTTGCATGTAAGTCCCTTGGTGATTGTAGCTACTTTAGTTGCGTTTAGAAAGCCACAACTTCCCTGTCATCATAAAGAGTTTGTATTTTTTTATTCCAAAGGTGATGTCATGTTCACTTCCCAAAACTAACTTGCTCCTTGGTCGTGTCCAGGAAACCACATACAAAAACGGTAAAACCTTGTACTCTAAACAGAATCTGACCTCTCGGTCTTTAGCGAGTAGAAGGTTTTGTCATCATTTTGGAGCGCTGAGTGACAGCACGGAGTCCCAGGGATGGTATTTCATGTGTCCATCCTGACAGTGGTATTTTGATTTAAAGTGAGCACTTCAAACTCCTCCAAAGGAATGAAAATCATGCATTTGTGTTTAGGTGCAAAACAATAAAATGTGCAAAAATGAATGGCATGTGAGAATGTCCGATTTTGACGCTGACACTTTATAGCCATCGTGCGGCTTTTTCCCGGCCGTTGGTGGGAATACTCGCTGCTGTTGGGGCACGCTCGGGAGTTACCAACCCCACTAGATGTCAGTGTCAGCCCAGAAACTGCCGGCAGAGCAATACCTCTGGAAATAGAGCTGAGAGGCTACAGCACCCCTCCAAAGCACTCGCCGACCATTTCTGGTCTGAAGGATGCATAAAATGCTATAAGGGCTGTATAGATGTTGCTGACATTTGGGAAACTGGGGATGTTTTGAATTGGAGTAAGTGTAAATTTGAGAAAGTGAATAGAGAAAAATACACCCATTTACAATTGCAGAAAAGGTTTGAGAAGAACGTTAAGTCAGCTGCATTTGCGATAAACAAATAGACTAAAGCTCTGGTTTGTGATGATTAATAGCACAGTGAGAACCAAATTTACTAATATGAGAGGCTGTTGATAGTTGTCTTAATGTCTAATAACTGGGGGAAAATTGGGGGGAAAACC